CCCCCCCCTCCAGAAAGGACCTGCCCTGAGTGTCCTTGCTCCTGAGCAGCTGTTAATGCTGCCTTTTGGCTCCAGGACCTCGACCACTGACAAGACTTCAGCACATACTGAGGGGTGTGTGTGTCGGTGGGGAGGGGGTCTCACCTGCACGCAGCTCCTGCAGCCTGTGGAGACACTGCTCCGTGATGGCCTGCAGCCCCTCCAGGGTAAGCAGGCAGCGGTACTCCTGCATGCAGTCAGCAGGGTCTATGCAAAAGTCAAGGGAGAGCATAGGTCAGTTCCACGCCAGTCCCAAGCCCTCCCCGGCCCAAGACACGCAGCAGGGCCCACTGACCTGCCGAGAGCACTTCCTCCATTCGCCGTCTCAGCAGCGAACAGGCCGTCCGCAGGAGCCCCACCTCGGCCTCCACTGCTGCAGCACTGAGCCCAGAGCCGGGCCCGCCGGACTGGACACAGGTCAGGGAAACTGCTCTGTGGCCAGGTTCCCCCCTTCCCCTCCCACCAAAGACAGGGCCCCAGAATGGCTCTGGCCCTTCCTGGAGTGACTCCTGAAACTCACCAGGCTCAGAGCCAGGACCACCCCCACCCCCACCGTGGAGGGTCCCACAAGCCCGGCAAGAATACAGTCATCTGCATTTTCTGGAGGAACTGGGTTTTGGCGGTGGCAGCGGCATCCACGGAGTCACTGGTCTGTGTAGAGCTGAGCTGGGCCCACAGGCTGGGATGGACACACAGGCACCCGGGAACCAGAGAGGGACGCAGTTATGCCATCCAGCTGGGCCTCAGGAGGCAGGGAAGGGCCAGGGAGGGGCCCCAGGTAGGGGTGTCTGGCTCTGCTGAAAGCCAGGAGGGACCTCTGGAGGCCTTGGAAAACTGAGAGGACACTGTCCACGAAGAGACGACAGAGCCAACGTACTCTGGGAAATACCCAGAGACAGTTCAAGGACAAAGGGGAGAAGAGCTGGCAGCGACTGGTACTGGAGCCTCCCTGGGACAGTGGTAAAGAACTCGGGGTGCAGGCACAGCACACACTTGAAAGGCACTGCCGTGTTTAACTCTCACAACACCTCTCTGAAGCTGATACCATCATTCTCTGCTCCACAGAGAAGACAAATGGGGACCCAGGGTCTCTTAGCTTCAAAGCCTGCAGAGTCTAAGGTCATGAGGGCAGTCCTAGCTGATCTCGGAAAGTGTCCCACCCAGCCAACAAAGCAGAGGGGCCTGCTGGAAAAGTCTTACCGAGGAGGCCCTGCACTGCTGCGAAGCCTCGGCCTCCCCGCTGTCCACACTTTCCTGGTCTCCCCTACCAGCCCCACCCAGCTGACACTCAGCCTTACCGGGAGTTCCGGGAAGCCGCTTTCCTGTAGGCCATGGGTAGCCGCAGCAGGATCCTGTCAGGAAAGCCAGTGCTCAGAGAAGCCGCGCTCTGGGGGCTGCCCCCCTCAAGCCCCGAACAGGGCTTCCAGAGTGGCTGTGGGAGCCAGCAGTCCACGTCTGCCCTGGCAGAGAGAAGAGAGGGAACCAGGAGCAGAGCCCATTTGGAGCCCCTGGGCTATATGGATGAGAGAACAGGTTACTGGACAGGCCCTAGTGATGTTGCATTCTGCCAGCTTTGGGGCATGGGTCTCATGGGATGGCACTCTGGAGGCTCCCCTGGCCCGCATCGGGCTCAATGCCCTGTCCTCCCTGTCACCCCACATCCCAGACTCCTGCTGCTGGCCAGGGTCTGATCTAGAAGAGACAACAGTTCCTCCAGGAAGAGTCTGGGAAACCTACCCCTTCTCCTTCAGTGTGAAAGCTTCTGGGGCTTGAAGAGCAGCCGATGGGGGTATCTGTTGGTCCCTGGGGCCTGGTCCAGGCTTGGTGGCTCGGGATCCTCTCCCCATACGGGTGCGATCCCCCACTGACAGGAGCCTGCACTCAGGGAGGCCCCTAGCAGGCACCACAGTCTGCTGGATGCCCCTGGGGGGTTTTGTCTCTGAGACTCGACAGCTAGCCTGGCCGGAGGCCCGGGACGGGGCAGAGGCTGTGGTGGCAGAAGTGGCAGCGGACCCAGACTTCAGGCTGAGGGCCTTGTGTCTCTCTCCAGTCTTAGAGATGCCTTTTCTCACCCGTACAGCCTTCTCCAGTGCCTGGGTCAGAAGCTCCAGCTCCTTGAGGTCTTGAGGGCTGGGTGTGGATTCTGCAAAAACCAAAGACCCATGCGTGCAGTGGTCACTCCACCACTGCTTGTCCGGAAAACAGCAGGAGTGGCACCAGGAGAAGGTGGGTGCTGGAAGTTTACCCGGAGACGGGGCCTCTCCACTGGTTTCTGACGCTGGGGTTGGCTGCGGAGCCGGGGTCTCGGCTGGTTCCCTGCGAAGTTTCACAGTACAGTCGTGGCACGGCCAAGAGGCAGGGTTCAGGCGCAAGGGACCCCAAAGGGGCCGCCTGGCTTTGCGGCGGTCCCCCAGTCCGGGGGCTCCGAGGGGGGTTCCCAGGACCCGAGGGAGGCCTGGCCGGGCGGTCTCGGGGTCCGCGTACCAGGTCCGCAGCAGCCGGCGGGAGACGCGCAGGCTCCGCTCCAGCTGCCTCTGTCGCTCAGCGCAGGCGTCCAGGGCGTCCCGCAGCTCGGCCACCAGCCTGGGAGGGGCGCACCGGCGGCTTAGCACCCCGGCCTGCCTCGCGCCGCGCCCCCTCCCGCCCCGCTCCCTCCCTGCGCGCGGGTCTCACCGGCGCGAGCAGTCCGCGGGCAGCATGAAGGCGACAGCGGCTCCTCCGGATTTGCCGCCTCCAGGAAGTCCGGGCCTTTCCGCGCTAGAAGACCGCCCCCTTCCGGCCGGACTACCCAATCCCAAGCCCAGAGCACAAGCCCCGCCCCCGCCGTGCGCGCAGCCATTCCCATTCGGAGCAGGGCCCCGGGGCAGCAGAGGGTCCTCACGTGATGCGCAGGCTTGTGGTTTGAATGGGTAGACAGACTGTGGCACCTGTGGTCACTTACGGTAGACTTTGTCCTTATTGAAGGTGCTCTAAAGCGGGGCCGAGCTGCCTTGCGGACCCCAGGCCACCTAGCACAGGGCAGGGGACGTCGAGTGACCCAGTTTACTGGGGTAACAGTCGCTAGAGGTGAGAATAACGCGTGTTAGGGGCAGAGCTAGGGAGGAGGGAGTGTTCACTTTTGGACATGCTGGTGATATGATGACATTCGGAGGTGGCATCAGGTAGGTACCTGAGCATAGGCTCCTGAAAGTCCAGGAGAGCTGTGATTGTGGCCCGTGAACAGCAGGTCTGGGCAAGAAGGTCCAGTGTGGGGCAGGTGTGTTTAGACAGGGACAGGTGAAGGATGGGTGGTGCAAGGGGAGCTAGAATCCAGAGGGATGGAGGAGTGGAGCTTCAGATGTCATAGAAGCAACGGGAAGCAGTTCCAGGATGGAGTACCCTCAGTGACTCAGGATAGCTGGGGGGTGTGTGTGTGTGTGTGTGTGTGTGTGTGTGTGTGTGTGTGTGTGTG